TTAATGTGCTAACCTACCATAGTCCACAAAAATCCTGAGTTATCTGAAAAGTCTCGCTCAACTGAAATTGAATCGGTTAACCTCGTTACTGGTTCGTAATTTCTAGTGTTATTATATTATAATGAGGGATATTAATATTACCCACCTATTATAGATGATAAAATATCTGAGCCTCATCTTGAAACAGAATTTGTTGAAAAACTAAAGCTCAAAGATACATCTGAAGAGCCTGTTTTCGGAAAATTCGATCTTAAAGGTGCAGATCTCGAAAAGTTTGCTCAAAAACTGAACTTCGACCAATTGCGATACGGACCATTAACGGACAAGGATATAGAGAAATTTTACGGTACATCAAAATCTGATCCAGTTTTATTGCATCTTAATTCATATAACCTTTGTTATCACTTCGCAGAATTCGTCGGTCCTGATTTTACTTGGCCCCCTACAATGAGAACCGCCGAGCGCCGTCTCATCTTTGATTACATCGCCCATCCTGAAAACTGGTTCGAAGAAGGAGAAGGAGAAGAACTTGCCAAGAACACTATTGCATATCGTCGCCTTATCGAGTCTGGACAGCTTGATCCATCTAGGGGCAGTCATATCTTAATCATCAACGGAAAGGTGGTGCGCTATGGACCAAAAATATCAGGAGAGGAATACGAGGAACTCGCGACGAAAAATCCAGGAATGTTGTACGCGCCTATTATCGAAAAGGTGGTCCACGCAAAATTCTCTTCCATTCAAGATGACACAAACAAGGAGTGGCAGGTTTGTGCTTACACAATTTTCACATACAATAATGAAGATTGCATCGTTAGAAATTGCTTTTGCCAAAATATCAGGTGCACATGCGGATTCGGAACAAAGACAAACCCGATATTACAGCAACATTGGCCAATATTGAGCGAGACAACTACCTTAATTGCAATTTTCGGCTAGTACTTGATACTGGTTGCACTTACACAGTTGTCCCACAATTGCTAAGGGCCAAGTTGCCATCCCGTGCCGGTTGGAGTGCGATTACTACCTATCCTGTTGGCTATGGTACCAACAGCAAAATGAATCAGGTTTCTGTGCCCTGGGAAGTCTCCTTAGGCGATGGTGTGAATTGGACGGACTGGATTGAGACTGAGGAACTATATTCTTGGCAAAAGGTTGTTTCTGGCGATGTTAGTTGTGGTCTGGTGGGGTTTGATGTTCTAGACAACACTTATCAGATCAAAATCCCAGGTCAACCGTACATTTTTGTGACGGATGACGACAGTACTAACCAATTGCAACGAATATATCAACAGCAACAACGGATCTGACGTGGTTTATAAAATCTATCTTGTCCAAAGGGAAAATGAATGAATCTCGTCCCAACTTAATTTAGATATTCTCAATGCTGAATAAGACTTTACCAGTTGTATCTTCTCATATCCAATATTACAGAAAAGATTCTAAATCTTCCTTGCCCTTTCTCGATCGCATTTCTCGAGAGGTCATTGGGAAGCTGTTTTGCGACTTCATTGATCAGTTTTTTCTGAGCCTTACGATCTCTATCACCTTTTTTACAGTTGTTGAACTTATCCTCAAGTTCTTTCCCAAAAGCATAATAGCACCTGATAACTTCTTGATTCGTGCTCTCAACTCGTTCTTCGGCCTTAACAAGTGCACATCTACTACGTGAGCGATGTCTTTACTTTGTAAAGTCTGGACAGATCCAGTATTGGCACCACTCTCGAATAATAGGGGATCCTTGTCATGGTTGTCTTCTGTTAATAGTGTATTCTTGTCACTGGTATTTCCTGTTAATTGTGGTGATATCTCCATTGGTTCTTGTGGTTCTGTTTCAGCCGATGAAAGGGTAGTTTCAATATCTTTGTTGCACCTAACAACCAGACATCTTGGTTCTGATTGTAAAAGATGTTTTTCGAGACAAATCCGATGGAAGAGGTGACCACATGTGGTCATTGTAAAGGCTCTAATGGGTTCACTTGGTTTTGAAAAATCTCACCTTCATCGCATAGTGAGCCTGGATTCACTTTCGGAATCTGAACATCGCTAACAAGGGTTTTATGGATCACACAGAATGTTTTTCGCGAGAGCAATAATGTGGGTTTTATCCATAATGATACTCCTATGAGAGACCCCTTGCTTTCTCGCTTTCCTATATATTTTTCACACATCGGATCTAAAACATAACTGGTATACAAACCGAAACTGCATTCATTAATGGAATTACAAATCACAGAAGCACGCGTCTCAGATTTGTGCATCTCAATGGGTTTAAAATACGATTTATTTTTCCATAGCATAGCCACTGTGTAATTGCCTCTTGGCAACGTAATATTCATACATTGTAAATATGTTACACTTAATAAATTCTGAAAATTTCGCATATATAATCGGGTTTATTTTTTGCATATAACATTCTTGAAGAGATGGTTTGAGAATCCAATTTCACTAAATTGAATTGTATATTCATATTGTATAAAGTTATTAAATCTAATAGATCTAAAATCCTTATAAATCACATAAACATCTAATATACTTATAGCATATAAATAAATCATGTAAAATGGTTAGCTTAAGTGAAAGACATGGACTGATGCTGAATGGGATGAATATTTGGAGATGGATATTGTTTTAT